TTTGTTTTGTATCTATATTTCATGGCGACTATTCGTCCCCTGTCTGGCACCACTGTGGATTTTTCAAGCGCCTGTCAGACTGTAATGGCTCTCTTCTTGACATGTTGCACGCCCAACTCAAATCCTCTGACAGTGGGCGTGGAGGTTATTACTTATTATACGCTTTATCCTGCTCATGAATAAGTAAAAGAGGAGGCCCGGGATACACGCACCCACTTACCACACACACTAAGACACATGCAGCTGCTCCTTGATGCCCCCTGTTTATGTACACCAGCACGAATCCGCAGCCACTCGCACAGAGAATCGCTGTCTCCTCCCTTTCTACACCCGCTGCCCTGGTTGCAGCCCCGGGGGGGACAGGAGGGGCAGCGAGGTGAGGAGGCCCGGCGTGTCTAATGCCTGAGCAGTCTATTCACGCTGCCATGCGATGGTCATTTTTTGTAGATACTACAGTCTTGTGGCTTTCATTTTCCTCCTCAGTCATTACGCAGAGCATTTGGCCGTGAATAATACGACGATGCCCATTTAGATATAGTTAATATTCTGTGCACACATGCAGTCCATCCCTGAAATGTTCAGAAACATTCCCCGCACAGGCTCATGTGAGAATAGGGGCAGGAGGACCTTCTTCACCGTTGGTTTAACAAAAAAGCCTCTTTTGGGGGATTCGACTTGTATCCCAAACTTATTGAAAGTCAACCAGGTTCCGAGGACATTGGCGGCGGACATAACAGATTCCTTCAGACGCCTCCTACCGACATCTTCTCCTCCCTATGTTGAGTTTTGTGGCGGTGTGGCAGCCATTAAGTATTATGATCATCTTGACCCATTTATTCCAGCATTGCCAAGGTAAGGAATGTAGTGTGAACTACGAAAGAAGCTCAATAAAAGAGTTCAGAACTCTTGCACATCCCCAGTCGGAAGCTTTCTCCAAATGCTGAGGTGAGGCGGAGTTCTGTATTTCCATGAAACATCTCTCAGTAAGGTCAGGGAAAGGTCTCAGGAACCTGTTCAATTATTAAACACGTTGTTATCTCCTAATGCAAAAGGCTCTCAGTGTCCGCAAACCACTCTCCCCTCCAGAGGTGTTGAGTGATGGCTGTGGACATGGGGGAGTGAGAGTTATTGTTTTTGAATGCTCCAGCTGTAAGGGCCGTAGGCAAATTGTTAATATTTTAGAACCTGGGGGAAACTGATTGTGAAGAACGTCCCAATGGCAGATCTGTCCGCCATGGTCAATACGCAGTAGAGCTGGTATGGAGATCACTGAGGGGAAGACGTGTTTTGTATGCCGACCAGGAAGTTGGTTTTGCATTGATTACCTCTGGGATTTTCATTGGATATTGTATTATTGTGTAAAATAAACTGAAGCGATTGTTCCATGTTTGGTTGAACAGGAAAATCTTCACCAACTTTACAACATGAACCCCGCGCGGAAGTTCGAAGCATCGAACTTGTTGGTTGACTGTCATTATAAAAAAGTCTAGAATGAATAACTACTTTACTCAGAAAGTTAAATCTTAGAGAAGAATATGTAACACAGTAAAGTATTAGTAAAGTAAAGTATTAACACAGCACTCAGATTTGACCCCAAACAACATTAATTATACTCTGAAGACGTGGAAAGGTCAGGGCCTCTCAGCATTTTACCCAATGTGTATTGAAGAAGGACAAGGTTTCATCTGAAAATCTAGCAAACAGATATCATGTCTGTAATAATAACTTGTCTCAATATATGCAAGTGAGAAGCTGTTTTCGAAATGCTCTCTGGGGCCTCCACATGACTAGAAAAAGACAATATAAATCTAATATATAAAGCAGAGCTTTAAAGATATTTTCCTTCACATTGGACCATTATTGTATAATAAGATACATAACAACACCATTAACAATCAAGGAACTGTGTGTAAAATAGTTCAGATTGTAAATGTATAAGAAACAATCTACTCCTTGGATATTTTATACCTAATAGAACGCAGAAGTGGTAAAGATTATATTGGCAACACGTCCCAAAAGCCTACATAGGAAAGAATCCTTCTTATTTTGCTATGTTTGGATTCTCGCAACAGAAGAACAAGAAGTTAAACAATGTGAACTTCAAATGGAAAACAAGTGGCTGGAAACCAAAGAGAACATATTGTAGCATAGAAGAGGTCCTGAATCTGAAACTGTGAAAGTCACAAATTCATGAAAAGTTTGATGATGATTTGCAATGTAATTGACAAAAGCATCCAGTAAAACTATTTTTCAATGGTCATAAGTTGGATCCGTTCCCTCCTCTTTTTACATTGTGTAGTTAAAGGAAAAGACCAAAACTAACGTGCGTTAAACTGTCTCGCAATCTTTCTCAAGCATGTGGCATTCAGGCCCAAACAAATATATGCATTCTAAAGGCACAAGCTACTGAAACAGGAGTAAATCGTGCATAAAAAAAACAATGTGTGCGTGTGTGTTACGACCCCCGGTCTTGTCTGTGTTCTGTGTGTGTGATAACCCTCCTCAGGTGGAGCTAATTGTCTTCATTACTCATCCGCCCTCCCGTGATCTCCTACAGCTGGTTCCTGTTTTCCCATCCTCCAATCGCATCGTCCCATCAGCTGTATTTATGTGTTTCTGGTTGTTCAGTCCAGATCTCTCTCAGGCAGGGTGTAAGGTTGTGTTTGGGGTGCTCTTGTGAAATTGGTTGTACATGGTGGAGTGTTTTGGGAGTATTGAAAGTGTTAATCATTTGTGTTTCGTGTGTCCTTCCCAGGGAGAACGGAAAGCACTTGGGAGTGTTAGGAAAGACGCCCTGGGCATACATCACCCGTAGGGATATCTCCTGTTATACACACCAGGTTAGATCTGAGCGATCCACCCCCTGTATTTTTGGTTAGGGCGCCTTGCTCGAGCGCCAGAGTAAATAAGTGTTTTGTGTAGGACGTTGGGACAGGTAAGGGGTGGGGTTTTGCTAATTTCTTTGTTTTGGATCAGCTCAGCCGTCCTCCCATTTCCCTCTATTGTTTATTATTATTATTATTAATAAACTGGCACGTGCTAGCCTATTTAAACCAGACCCATCGATGTTGGTGTGATTACTTGCGCCCACACCCGGTCTCTGGCCGTCTGGGGTTCTTGGCAGCGCGGTGTATGTTCCCCTCCCCTCACGGGGTGCTGTACGGGCGTAACAAAAATGGGGGCTCGTCCGGGATCTGTGCACCCCGCTGCTTGGACCCTGACTAACCATTGACTGGTGTGGGTGATGAGGAGCCATTTGGTACCTCGTCCACACGGTCGGTGGACGGTGTGGGGGTTGTGAATGGGATGACCTTTAGTTTGTTGTGTGTTCGGTTATAGTGTACATGATGGCTACTTCAGCCATCTCCAGTTTTGTTGATGTCCCCTCAGTCGCCGCAGAGATCTCTCCCCTTCCCGCTGGGCCGCAGCGATCTCCCCTTCCCGCTGGGCCGCAGCGATCTCCCCTTCCCGCTGGGCCGCAGCGATCTCCCCTTCCCGCTGGGCCGCAGCGATCTCCCCTTCCCGCTGGGCCGCAGCGATCTCCCCTTCCCGCTGGGCCGCAGCGATCTCCCCTTCCCGCTGGGCCGCAGCGATCTCCCCTTCCCGCTGGGCCGCAGCGATCTCCCCTTCCCGCTGGGCCGCAGCGATCTCCCCTTCCCGCTGGGCCGCAGCGATCTCCCCTTCCCGCTGGGCCGCAGCGATCTCCCCTTTCCGCTGGGCCGCAGCGATCTCCCCTTTCCGCTGGGCCGCAGCGATCTCCCCTTTCCGCTGGGCCGCAGCGATCTCCCCTTTCCGCTGGGCCGCAGCGATCTCCCCTTTCCGCTGGGCCGCAGCGATCTCCCCTTCGCGCTGGGCCGCCGCCGCAGCGATCTCCCGTTCCGGGGCTCTCAGTCCCAGCCCCGACTCGGCCAGTCCCCGCTCCGAGACTCTCAGTCCCTGCCCCGAAGCCCCCAGCTATCGCGTGTTTAAGTACTGGGTTACGTTTGGTTGTTTTGTCGCAAACTGGAGGTTTGCTGTTTTTGTGGTGGGCGTGTTACGACCCCCGGTCTTGTCTGTGTTCTGTGTGTGTGATAACCCTCCTCAGGTGGAGCTAATTGTCTTCATTACTCATCCGCCCTCCCGTGATCTCCTACAGCTGGTTCCTGTTTTCCCATCCTCCAATCGCATCGTCCCATCAGCTGTATTTATGTGTTTCTGGTTGTTCAGTCCAGATCTCTCTCAGGCAGGGTGTAAGGTTGTGTTTGGGGTGCTCTTGTGAAATTGGTTGTACATGGTGGAGTGTTTTGGGAGTATTGAAAGTGTTAATCATTTGTGTTTCGTGTGTCCTTCCCAGGGAGAACGGAAAGCACTTGGGAGTGTTAGGAAAGACGCCCTGGGCATACATCACCCGTAGGGATATCTCCTGTTATACACACCAGGTTAGATCTGAGCGATCCACCCCCTGTATTTTTGGTTAGGGCGCCTTGCTCGAGCGCCAGAGTAAATAAGTGTTTTGTGTAGGACGTTGGGACAGGTAAGGGGTGGGGTTTTGCTAATTTCTTTGTTTTGGATCAGCTCAGCCGTCCTCCCATTTCCCTCTATAGTTTTATTATTAATTATTATTATTATAAATACACTGGCCACGTGCTAGCCTATTTAAACCAGACCCATCGATGTTGGTGTGATTACTTGCGCCCACACCCGGTCTCTGGCCGTCTGGGGTTCTTGGCAGCGCGGTGTATGTTCCCCTCCCCTCACGGGGTGCTGTACGGGCGTAACAGTGTGTCTGTGTGTTCATCATATGAATGGAATATTTGGGCCCGTGCAATAGTAAAAAAGAGTATTTTCTCGGTGCCGTAGCATAAATCCTTTAGCGGTTCTTGTCACCACATCTTAACAATCCTCTCGGCCTAAACCTTATTTCTCTAATACTCTTAATTTTGCATATCCTCGACTATATGGAAGCAGCTTTGAGCCGTATCCTATGTAAAAGTTAAACCCCGCTCTGTTTCTTTCCTCAGAATATTTGCCATGCCACATGGGAAGGCCCTGAACTCCACCCTGCTCTTACTCCTCATTGTCTTCGCCATCACCCGCGGTCGCTCCTACCCTCACTTCTCCCGCAATGACACTGAATTCCAGCACCTGGTGCTCCACCCGGACCCCTCGCTGGGGACGGTGTACGTTGGGGCCAGGGACCACCTCTTCCAGCTGGACGGAGCGGACGGACTCCGGCTGGAGCTTGAGGAGAAGACCGGCCCCGTGAGCGACAGCAAGGATTGCCTCCCCCCAGTGACCGAGTCCAACTGTCCCCAGGCCAGGAGGACCAGCAACCACAACAAGCTTCTTCTGGTGGATCCGAAGGCGCTGGAGTTGATCACCTGCGGCAGCATCCACCAGGGCACCTGCCAGAAGCGCAGCCTGGCGTCCATCCAGGCAGTGCGCTTCTCCACAGAGAGGCCTGTGGACACGCAGTACGTCGCCGCCAATGACCCGTTGGTGTCCACTGTGGGGCTGGTGGTCGGGCTCCGCGGGGAGAGGACGGTGATGTACGTGGGTAGGGGCTACACCGCCAGCCACCCGCCCATCTCCACCCGCCACCTCTCCGTCGAGCCCATCTTCTCCTACGAGGAGACGGCCAAGCTGGCGGTGGCCGGGCGCCTGTCAGAGTACGACCACCACTTTGTGAAGGCGTTCACGCGGCGCTCGTACGTGTACTTCTTGTTTTACCGGCGCGACATCAAGTCGCCGTCGAGGGAGTACCGGACCTACGCCGCCAGAGTTTGCTTGGACGACACCTCCTACTATTCCTACGTGGAAGTTCCGCTGGTCTGCCGATCTGCTTCCTCTCCTTCCAGGACTTACAACCTGCTCCAGGCTGCCCAGGTACTTGATCCCTAAATAGGACCAACAAACAAGCCCTGCAAAGGTCTTGTAGGCACCAGCAATTCACAGTCTAGTTGGAAGTGGGTGTGTGTGCATTTCGTTGTTTTCCCATGGTTTTTGTTGCAACAGGTGGGACAAGGCGTGGACCGGGAAGGCGAGGATCTGCTGGGAGTGTTTTCCAGTCGCGTCGGCCCCACAAACAACGCGGCCTTGGACGCCTCGGCTCTGTGCGTCTACCCGCTGGATGAGCTCGACGGACACATCGACTCCACCCGCAACCTCTGCTACACCCAGGATGGCCGGGTAGAGGGAAGAGGAGAAGTGGCCTACATAGAGTACGACGTCAAATCCAGCTGCGCCAACCTGCCAATGGTAAGGATGCTGACTGTTTCCCTTGAATAGCTAATATTTTGAGAGAAATTGGCTTTTTAGAGCAAACCTTTTTTTAACAAGAGTCGAATTGCATGTTTTCATTTGTTTTCTGCTTTACAGTAAGCAGTTGTTACAGAATGGATACTGGCATAATGATGAATTATATCCTGCTGCCTTTATGTTCCTTAAGCATATTGACTCAATTGCTTTCTGTGGTAAAAAACAAAACAAAATAAAAAGCATAATAATAAGGGACAACTGGATTGCCAGATTGGACTTGGAGCAACAGAGAGAATGAAGGCATTATAATGAGGCCCTTGTTTGGAAAGGCCACAACCCCCAGGAGTAGCTTTGCCCAGCTGCAGCCCTCTGGTGACCCCCTTCGCTGCTGCCCAGGTCCGGCCAGCCCTCAGGGCCATTTCATGGGATCATTAGGGATCAATAAACCATGCTCCCCTTGAATCGGCGCTGCTGCTGCTTAATGAGCTCTGTCAAGGGTATTTCTTTGGAAACCCACTGACATAAGAGGACACCGAATAAGGTTGAGAGAACAGGTGGGGGGTGGCGGGGGGGGGGGGGGGTATGATCATGGGAAGAGAAGCACACACAGCAATGGGGAGAAAGAAGAAAAGGAAATGCTGCATGAAACGCAGAGAGATGATTGATTGAGGAGAGGATGTAATAGATCACAGTTCCCTTTGAAACAACAATAAGCAATCTTTTTTTTTGTCTACTCTCCATAGACTAACAAAATATGTCCCATTCTACTTCCTCCTTCAGGGCCAATTATTTATAGCTGGATTTTTGAGACTTAGCAGAAAGCAGGATTTAAAAAGTTTTGCGAAACCAAAAGAGCCAGTGGCCTGTGGCCGTATGAGTGGGCTCTAATCTGTGGCGCAATCCTCTTATGATGTACCAGGAGGACTCAAAAGCTCTCGGGCAACAGCAGGAAAGAAGGGAACAAGGCAAAAAAGCTGATGCTGATGCTGATGCTGAACAGGAACTCAAATAAAATAAAAATAATCTTGATGCCTCCAGTTCAAATAAAATCTGTGTTGCAGAATACTCTCAAGGCGTATCCCTGCGGCTCCGACCACACCCCCAGTCCCATGGCAAGCCGGGCGCCCCTGGAGGCCAGGGCGGCGTGGCACACCTCGGCTGCCCGCCTCACTGCGGTCGCGGTCAGTGTTAGGGATGGACACAGCATCGCCTTCCTCGGCGACTCCAGAGGAACTCTGCACAAGGTAGCTCATCACTGTGTGCTACTTTGAATATTTCGTGCCAGTTTCTTTAAGGCCCCTTTAAAGCGTGCGCGTGGAGGGAGGCAGAGACGCCCTGGGACACATCTTGGGAATAACAGCGGTCTGTCATGAAAAAATGAAAACCATAATACTCGTTTCTTATGAGAAGAGTTTACTGATTCTCAGCCTCACCCTTCTAAGGATGGCGATGGACTTCAAACAAGCCAGTTCCCAAACACGTCTATACGGCTACAGCTACTTGTGGATTCCAATCATTCCACCACTCCCAACATACACAGACTAGCACACCAACATGATCCCATGCCTAGCACGTTTGCTTTTTCTTCTGTTCTCAGGGAAAAATGAGATCATTGGAGACCAGAACAAAAACATTTTTGAGCACTTTTTAAAGACAAATTTTTGGAAGAAAGGTGAAAAGAATTTCCTGAACAAATACTGAATCTCGCTTTTTTTTAAAGTTCTTTTTTATTTTTATTCTTGTGTATTGTCAAAAAATTCCCTTGTAGTGACACAGTGTTTGATGTGTGCAAATAAGAGAAAAGGACGCATTACTTACACATTAGCGCACCATGTGGCCAGCTAAAGGGAGCTATTGGAACAGGATTATGGTAAAACAGCAGGACAAATTCCACAGTATCCAGCTACAAGAATGTGTGTGTCTGTGTGTGCGTGTGTGCGCGTGGGGGTTGGAGGGGTTTGGACAAAATCAGTGTCGCCAGCTTGATTTTGATACAGTCACACACAATGTTGCGATTGGAGTTAAAAGGACATTGCGTAAAAATCCACCCTCTTCCCTTTTTTTGCTGAGAATTAGACAAGACACACTGATGCCACGCTCATTCTATTCAGTTAAAATATAAAGCTAAAGCAAAGAGAGATTTAGCTTAGCTTAGCACAAACATTGAAAGCTGGGCAAAAGCTGCTATCTGGACCAAGGCGAGTCATAGACAATCACTGCTGTTGTAATTATTCCAAAACCCATTCATGTCAAAACCAGGCGTATGCATCTGTACAGAGAGGCATCTATTCTGCAATTACCCAGTTAGATATTGTTGCACACCTGTTGCACGGGTGTTACATCTACAGTAAAGCGTCACAATCTTTACAAAATGTGACATCCAAACTGCATAAAAGTTGCCGCTGCGTAAAACAGAGCACCAGCCCATGCTACCATCCCATAATGCCATTATGCGTTGAGTGCATCCCATAATGGGGAAACTGATTCTCCATCCTGTTCACGGCGATCAAGTGAGACGCTTCTGGAAAGGAGGCACGAAAACCTCTGCTAATCCCATCAACATGAGGTAACATGAGAGTTTGAATGCCTGGGAATCACTTAAGCCGGAGGTGTCTTCCTGTGTTTCATATTAGATTTGACTCTGCCGTAATCACATTCACTGCCACTTCCACTGCCATTCTTTTGCGAGGGCGATTTGATTTGCGTTTTATTTGTAAGCCGAAGATGATATTCCTTTGAGATTCTTTTTCTTTAACGTTGCAGAGTAAAGAATATACCAACATGTCTGGTGTTTTTCTACAGGTATATCTGGGCCAAGACGGCCAGGCGGAGGTATACGCAAACACCACGATCCAGCTCAACTCACCCATCAACGGGGACCTTCTCTTGGACCGGACTGGGGCACACATCTACGTCATGACCAGAACTACTGTAAGTATACAAAGTGTACGCTATTTTGGATCGTTATAGGTATTGAAATGTAATTTTCTCTTTTAAATCTAAGCTTATCTTTGAACTAGTCAACAAGATGTGTCAACTTTTGGAGCGTCTGCTCGTTAAACCACTTGCCCAGATGTCTCCACACACAAGAACAAGGCTTTTCATTCAACGTCGGACAAATGCTCAGTTTTTTCAGGCTTTGATACTTCCTCAAGCTGTGTTTCTCTCGTGGAGAAAAATCATAAAAGAATAGGAAGCAGTGAACACCGTGTTTCCCACCGATCAATGTGTGGGGGGCTAGATAGAATTATACACAATTCACACTATATACTACTCCCATAGCTGTAGTACACATTTCACACCCTATACTACTTGTTGTTACAGCCTACATGCGCAAAGCCTGCAACTTCTTTCTGATTTTGCGGGGCTTGCTGAAAAAAAGGCACGTGAGACAGACGTGTGTGTGTGTGTGTGAGACGGTGGGAGAGCAGGGAAGGGAAATGCAGCTGAACGAATACGCTGCGTTATTTAAATAGCGGTAAAAAAAATGTAAATGAGAAATATACAACTTGGTTAATAATGCAAGGCAGTAGGGTAACCTTAAATTGTACTTTTAATGGCTCTTATCTATAGCAAGTTGTAAATCGGCTCATTTGATGACATTGCACTTTCTTGTTTCATGTTCTTCTGGGTTTATATCCTTATGGTTGAAATGCACTTAAAGCATCAGCTAAATGACATTTATGGTCATTTTGAATCTTAATGTCAGTTACTTATAAAGATAACTATATCTTTAGTAAGTAAAACAGACTCAACTAGTTCAACTCGTATATCTGTAAGCTAGCTGATATGATAATGGATTAAGTGGGTTTAAGTGGGTAAGATGCAGTTAAGCCCATATATTGATTAAAACCATTAAAAGTTGTAGAATAAGCACATTTAAAAGGAAATAAGCCTCGCACTATTGGCCGAGAAAATGCTAGTTTACTAGAGGTTACCTATGCTGCTAAGTTTGATGGGCTATTATTGCACATTTAAATCAGTAAGGCTAATGTTAATTCTAGTCAAAACAAATGCCAGTGTGCTGTTTTAGTCAGTTTGCAACCGGCCTGAAAGTTTCTTGAATAACTTGTTTGATTCTCATGGAAGGAAGGTCTCAGATTCTTATCAATTGCTAACAAGGTTATTAAACGGTGATGTGAGTGAGCTGAGAAGTCTCATATTTGTCTTGTTCATCCTGGATGAATGATGCTGAATTCTGCTAATTGTGACTTTTAAGAAGAAGCCAAATTGGCAAATATTGTCATGCACATACAGGAAGTTGTTGGGAGCAGTGGGCTGCCGTGAACGCAGCCGGGGAGCACTTAGCGGTTGGGTGTCTTGCTCGGGGACACACTTTGACACGGGACCAGTGGCATGTAGCATGGAACCGCCAACCCTCCGGTTCCCGGCGCACCTTCTCTTCTCCATGCACCACAGTCTTATGAGGAGGACACCATCACCGCTAGCAGCATACTGCTGGTGTCCTTCCTAATTCACCACACAGATTGCTTTTTAAGGTTTGCTTATCTCTTACTTTCAGGTGAAGAAGCTTCCGGTGGCAGAATGCGGAGACCACCTGGACTGTCAGTCGTGTCTGTCCGCCAATGACCCCTACTGTGGCTGGTGCGTCCTGGAGGGACGGTGAGTCAGTGGTCAAGTGGCGACAGGGCGAAAGCCGACGCCTTCTCGTGTCCCTGGGTCTACGCTCATGTCGTCCTTGTCTCTCTCACCTCTCGGTGTTGTTTCAGGTGTGGCCAGCGGCGGGAGTGCCAGCGGGGTTCCGTTCAGGGCCAGTGGCTGTGGAGTTTCAACCGGACGCAGCAGTGCCTCAGCATCCAGCGGCTCAGCCTCTATAACATCAGCCGCGGGGAGAAAACCGATGTAATGTGGAGAGAATGGGTTTCCCCACACGTCCCTCACCTTTTTCGTTTTCTCTTTTCTTGAGATCCACGTTCCATTCTGTCTTCCTCTCCTCAGATCACGGTGTCTGTAGAAGGCCTTCCGGGTCTGGGAGAAGGAGAGGCCTACTCCTGCTTCTTCCAGGACACAGAAGCTACGGCTTCACTCACCAACGCCGGTGTGATATGCTCAACCCCTGATGCCGGCAGTCTGCCCCCCATTCGCCACGGAGATGGTGAGAGCTTTTTCCTGACATTCTCAGAACTTCTCAGTACGCACAAAACATTAAGGACGTCACAGTACTTTACACAGTAAAAGAACGGACATATGCCATTGCTGGCCTTAGGCTTCTTGATTCTGTCCGTCGTCACAAACTTTTGCAAATTTTTTAAAAAGTCCCTCTGAACTCACTTCCATTAATGTGATATCGCCCGGAACGCCCGGATACGGAGTCCATAATATTATGTAATAATAATTAAGTCAATTAAGGCAGTAGATGGTAGATGGGTGCTTTACAACAAACCGTATGTGGGTGGTGAGACTCTTGAAGTCCCATTTAGATTTTCAAATTGCACTTGAGGTTGCAACACCTTTTTTACACATCGATGACTTCAACAAATATGTTTGCAAAATCGCCAGAGCGCTGTGAAGCTGGCCAAAGAACAACGGCAAAGCTGGTTGCATCATCTGAAATAGTCATGTATTCCTTCTGACGCAGAGTTTGTGATGGTGGCCCTGTCACTGCGTTTCACAAACGTCACGGTAGCAGAGACCGAATTCACCTTCTACAACTGCAGCTCGGTGCAGCAGCTCTCCGGACGCAGGCCGTGAGTCCACACATCAATGCATAGCACAGTGGAGCGTTTGTTATTGTCACCTGTGTTTTTGTCTGGCTCTCTCTGACCTCACCTGTGCCATGTGCTCCGCTAGATGCCAAGGCTGCGTCAGCAGTCGCTGGGGGTGCAGCTGGTGTATCCACCAGCACGTCTGCACGCACAAACGCACCTGCAGCCGAGGAGTCACCGTCTACAACCGTAATGTGAGTCAGCAGTAAGGCTCCAAAAGAGCTTGGGGTGGCGTTGATTTTATTTAGATATTACAATAAGGGTACTAAGTCAGTCTCACCTAAAAACAAATTTGAACACACATGAATGTAAAGTAGTACAGGACGCTGTGTCAGGCTGCGATAGTTTTAGCATGGTTTAATAAGAGTGTTTACTGTATATTTAGGGGAAAACAATGTAATTTGAAAGCACTAGGTTTGTTTTGCTGAACATGCGCAACATGCTGCCCGTATTAGTGCGTTTGTGTTTGTTTGCTCTGTCGGTGTAGTTTGTCTTTTTTATTAGTGTTTTGCCATAATGTTTTCTTTTTTTTGTCTCCTCCCGTGAGCTGTTTCTTAAAGCGCACCCTTTCTGTTTTATCCTAATTTATTCTTCCCCTGCTGTTTTCTCCTCGTCCCCCTCCCGTCCCCCTCCCGTCCCGTCCTGGCTTTGTACAATTGTGCTTCTCCATCGTCAAGTTCAAACCACCAACACCCACCGTCCCACCACCCGCCCGAAATCTGAACCCTTTACCTACTGTCCGGGCTGCTGCTACGACAACAACCCAGCCCTCACCCACAGAGCCTCTCCCCCCCACTACAGCAGCTGTCCCTTTAACCTCCACCGCAGTCGCACCGCCCACCTCCCCCCTCACGCTGGCCTCAACCTCCCCTTCTGTCGTGATTTTCACCCAAGCCCCGACAACGCACACCGATGTCCCGACCACAAGCGAGGGGGCGACAGATGGAAACGGCGGCATTGCAAGTTTCTCAGAGGACGAGGAGGCGGAAAGCTTAAATATCACTGCCAAATACTCCGCCACTGCGTTACCCAGCAGCACTACCCAAAAGGTAGACCATGACGTGGGCTTTTTAGATCCGTCTGCTGAAGCCTTTGGCTCTTCCTTTGACGTAAGTCCGACCGACTCCAGAGGAGAGTCCCGTTTAATAGACCTGTCAGTCAGCGGCACTAAGGACCCCGAAGAGAAGGACTCGCCCCGGTGGTTTAGTGAGTGGGAGGGGACTGCCGGAGACTCGGCAACAGGTCCATCCGTTGTGGGTGCCAGCGAAAAGCCGCCTATCTCGCAAGCACCTGAAACGGTTATCAACCCCCTCTTTGAGTCTGCAGCAGACTACCAGTTAGATTCATCGACCCACTCATTCTTTCCGGTGAGTGCAGGAGCCTTGCGTGCAAGTCGTCACTCCAGTAGACACAAGAAACTGTTTAAAGTCCCAGTGAAAGAACTTTCCACAGGAAAACCCAATATCTGAGCGGTGTGCAATCACCTGAGGGGTCCATCAAATCCTCTGCATTTTATTGGGCTTCCAAAAGAAAAGTTGGCGGGCTTAGAGTTTATTGCGATACGGAGCCAGGGAGGACTCTTTGAGCCTGATAAACACAGCTCCCTTCTTGTTCAGAGAGATGGGGGAGACCGTTTGGGCTACTAGTCGTCCAATTGATTTGATTATTTTTTGTAGATACCCCTGAGTCATCCAACATTTGACGTAGTAGCCAATGTCTGGTTCCTTCTCTGGATCCTAAAAGTAAAGACTATGCAGAAGACTCTTAGACCTGCGTTCTCTGTGATGTTTATCATGAGTCTGTGAGAAAATTCAATGCGCGTAACCCGGCAGGTCTTATGGACTTGTCTTCCCTCTCCGTACCGTTCCTGTTCATCTCACCCTGTGAGAGCTGCTCTTAGTCCAATGAGCTCAGGGACATTGTGGTCAAGTCTACGGCCGCTTCACGTTGCTCTCAAACGTTTAATGTTTCCTTGTTGTGGTGTGTTTATTGTTTCCTATTAAGTTTAAAGTGAAAGTATAAACCAGCACAGCTACTTAGAAGTTAGATGTTCACCTTGGTTTTACAAAAACCTAAGAGGACTTTGTAAAGATTTTTTTGGAGAGAAATACCGCGATCAAATCTGGATGTGGACGATGGGAGAATATCCTTCATTCATAGTAGAATAAGAGAATGAAGTTCTTAGCAGCTTGGACCAGCCACGTTCAAAGGATTGTGTGGTGTACCTGTTTACATCTATCCCTCTGTAATGGTTACATGGTGAATCGTGTTTCCTCAGGAGTGTCCGTGTGTGGAGAAGGTTCGGGATTCCGCTCTTCTCCCTGTCAACGTGGAGAGGAAGGTCACTCTGCTGGGACAACATCTGAACCTGTTTCAGGTAATGCAGCCTGGTAGCCATGATGGAGGAAGATTGCTGATGTTTTCAATACGCTTCCACTCCCACCGGCGTATGAAGACAGCACGCTCACAACTGTACAAAAAGTGTATTGGATTCTCATCGCCGACAGCACCTTTACAGCTGAAACATTCAGGTTATTCATACACTGTGTTCCTTCAGGGTCATCAACGAGTACCCAAAGGTACTTTACACCCTGAATTCAAAAATCCACGTGGTTCCTCTTTCCTCCGCTGCCATCCATCTAGATTATTTGGGTGTAAATTGCTGGGCGTCAGATAAGTCGGCCTTCTATCCAACATAATGTGACTAGATGGCTCTCGTCTTTTCTTAATAACCTCTGAATTCTTAAGAACTGCTAAACAATCATCATAATAAACATGATAATAATGAACCTCATTTGTATATTGCATAATAATAATACAATTAATTTGTACAGCACATAATAAAATAATAACTTGATTTGTACAGCGCATAATAAAAATAATTATAAGAAAACACATCACTTGTATAGCACATAACATAATAATAATATTGGGGGAAAAAATATGTTTATTTGTATATAAAACCATATAAAAAATGATAAAATAATAACTTTCATACATGGAATGCTGTGCATATGTTTTACAACAAAGGAAGATAGTTTCTTAATGTTCTAGTTATGAGTATACAAAGGCTCCCTGGATTGACAAAATATGCATTATTATGTTAAGACTTCATAAAACCTCATAAGCTTTTGCAGTGACCCGTAGTTCTGTAACAGTGTTCACTTATTTATGTGGCGTGCTCATTTAGGACGAGATCTTGGACTACGAGTGTGTGCTGGACGTTGAGAATGAGTCTGTGGTCATGGAAGCCCTCGTGGAGGCGGATGCCACTTATCCATCGGCCTTCTTCATCACCTGCCAAGCTCACCAGGTCAGAGTCGCAATGCAGGGATCCGTCCTGGGCGGGCGGGGCGTTTAGTCCAAACTTCCTAAGTCTGTGAATAATTGTCTCACTATATGTTTCTACAGCCCCTGAAGACTTGATCTTTGAAAATATTCCTAAAGATCTGTCTTAACTTAGGTTCAGTTCCCAACGTGAAGCAGCAAAACAAGAATTAGACCTTTATGAACAGGGTTTGGGTTAGTTTGATTGACACGTCATTGCCCGATCTGATGGAGTAAACCCAACACATCCTATAGCATAATGGTAAACAAGCAAGCCTTTAAATCATCAGATCAACCAAACCAAACATTAACTTAACCTAACTGTTCATTAATGTTAGGCTGTGTGTAGCTTCTGATTTAACCTCTGAAGTTAACGTTATCAAAATGGGATCTCGGAACACTTGGCGTTGGTGGGGATCTGGAACGAATCGACACAATGAACAACATAAATAGATATTAGAGATTAATTATGAGCTGTTTAAACTAAACTCGAAGCAGTTTATAGTATATATATATATATATATATAAACAATAACATTATGTTGGACCGGATCTATTGCTGCCTCTTTTGTGCTGATCTGATCCGGGATCCTCGTGATCTGCAACATGCTGCTTTTGGTTCCAGTACTCCTACGCCGCCTCGCTGGAGGAATACCTGGCCGCCATCAATGTGAGGAGGAAGAACTCCTTCCTCATCGACAGCGCCGAAGACCTGCACGGTGCGTGTTCCCCCCCTGGATGTCCGACGCGTGTCGTACGACGGCCGATGACGTCCTTTTCTCACGGACTTTCCCCGTCTCTCTTCTGTCTCAGTGACTCTGTTCAATTGTTCCGTGGGGCGGTCGGACTGTAGCCGGTGTCGCACCGCCGACCCCAAGTACGGCTGCGTGTGGTGCGCCGGCGTGTCCGGCTCCCGCTGCGTGTACCGGGACTCCTGCGCCGAGGAGGTGAAACACACGTGTCCCGCGCCCGTCATCCACTACGTAAGAGCTCCTCGCCCCGTCCCTGGAACACGAAATGAAATTGACATCAACTAATTATTTCTTCCTTTTTCTTTCTTCATTAACCGAGGAGGGAAAAAAAGTGACAGAACCCCAGAAAAGGGTTAGAGTGATTCAAAGGTTTTCTGACAGAATATGATATTAGTTGCTTTTTGGTTTTGACAGCCGGATGTTTTATTCTCTTTCATTAGTCTGAGATTGATCGCTGAAACATGAAACCTCTTGTTGAATGTCTCCGTTCCCCCCATGTCAGTCTGTACTACGCCACCTGGAAAGGGACCTTGGCTTGAAAAACACCTCTTTGCTTCCGTTGTTGTAAAGAAGGTTCCTGTCTGCAGTCCATCCCTACTGGGCTCCATTCACCACACTGCTATGCAATCCCAGGCAACAATCAGGAAGTACGTTTCTAACTTTTGCTCCTCTCGTCTTTCAGCTGGACCCGGTTTCGGGGCCCGTGGAGGGGGGGACGGTCGTCACTATTTCGGGTTCTAACCTTGGCCAGAGAGCTGTAGACATCCAGCAGTCGGTGTTGGTGGCCGGAGTCCCCTGCAGCGTCATCCACAGCCGATACGAGGTCTCCTCAAGGCGAGTTGCCCTTTTCCTTACGGATGAACTGTAGACATTTTGAGGTTAAAAGGTCAAGGTCACTCACAAATGCCACATTGTGGTGAAGGCATCGGGGGAGCACATGGAGCGGATCTTTCTGAAATTTTGCACAAATATCCCCTTTTTGAGGTTAAAAGGTCACTTTAAGAACCAAAGATTTCATCAATCAATTATGACAATTATGTCTCGGTTCCCGCAGGATAGTGTGCGAGACGACGAGCAGCGGACGAGAGAAGAGCGGCCAGGCCTCGGTCCGAGTGAGCGGAGGAGGACTCGGACTGTCCGCTCAGATCTTCAGCTTCCAGGTAAACGCCTCGATGGTCCTGTCTGCAAAGGGAAAAAAGGAAATGAGGTGACATTTGTTCATAAAAATGAGCCGTGTGATCACAGTCCCACCCGCCTGTCAGCTCATCCTCATGGCAAACTGCTAAATTAATTTTGTCTCACCTCATTTGGTTTTTGTCATTTTTCTAACAAATATTCTTTGAGCATCGAGAAAACTCGATAAAGTTGTATTATTTCATTGCAAGATGACTACGTCCACCTCTTATAAACATTCTATGGTCTGCACACATTTGCAATGTACTATATTAATAATGACACCCAGGTATCATTGTCAGAGCAGCGTATTGTACAATATGTGAATAACCTGTAATTAGCATTCTATATTAATGTTTCCATTTCTACTGCGGCATGCGGTTGTATTATTTATTTAGGATTTGCTTTTGTATTTATTGCTATTCTGATTGTGAATTTAATATTTAACAACCCAAAGTGACCCAAGCGAGAAAAAGTCTCAAATAAGGGACGTGGGATGGGTGGACATTGAGCATGAAAGCTTTTCAAAATAAAGCACCTCTTTGACAGCTGAGCCTAAAAGGTTGATCAGACGGATGTTTTCTGAAAAGTGATATTGAAATATGCAAATGAGGCAGAATCCTAAAATAAAACATGTATCTTGGGATTGTGTCAAGTACTCATCAATACCACTTATTAGTTTGATTCCTTATTAGCTCTTTATGATTATACTGTGTGGAAAAATGATCAGAATCAAACTGGCTTTATTGTATCCTAACATATAGTTTAGATACAGCACAAGAAGTTTCCAAAACCTTTAAAGTACATTTTAAACTTAACAATCTGTGTTAAATGTTAAGTGACTCGTTACTACATCAGTGCGAGGACTGTAGATCTGACAGCAAATGAGTTGCTGTGAGGCGACAGTTTTCCCAGAATGCCCCTGTGTCTCTCATCTTCCCGATACATTTCCAGCTCTGTATCAGCTTATTGATCGTACGTCTTCCCGTCTTCTCCTCGTCCTTCCATTACCAGGATCCCGTGCTGAGCGGCGTCTTCCCACAGAGAGGGCCCAAGGCGGGGGGCTCCTCTCTCACCATCAGAGGCCGCAGGCTGAGGACCGGACACCCGAGCGAGGTCGGCGTCCTGATCGGAGGAGTGCCGTGTGTGGTGTGAGTGTCATCGATCGTTTCGACACTGACCGTTATGAAGGACGACTTTTTGATTTGGATCAGCGAGGGTAAAAAAGCAACGTCTCCTCTGCTCAGGCTCAACATCCAGGAGGATCAGATCAACTGTCTGACCAGAGGCAGCAACAGAACGGGAGAGCATGGAATCACCGTGCGGTTTGGTAGTACGGAGCGCCACCTACAGGGTCTGGTGTATCACTACACCCCCAACCCCAACATCTCAAAGGCTGCTCCGTCCAAAAGCTTCCTCAGGTATCCGTCTCAGTAAAGCAATGCTCACAATGTACATGATATAGATTATAAGTGCAGCTTGCGGCCTGGACACAGCGACTTTTTAAAGTCTTACTTTAGGAAGAGATCTATCGAAGACGATCTTCTACTGGTCATGACAAACAAGCAATGAGACAGGGAATGGTTTTCTCCCCCCCCTAGTGGAGGCCGAATCATCAGGGTCTCCGGTCAGAACCTGGATGTTGTCCAGGAGCCCAAAATGAGGGTGACCTTTAGTCCCCCCGACACTCTCCCTCCCAGGAGGAAGAGGAGCAAGAGGAGGAGTGAAGGACGGGATCGTCCGGGACCAGTGAAGAGATGGAGGAGGATCGTCCCGGAGGCGGAGTGCCCCGAGGGTACGCTCTGTCACGTCAAACAGGTACGTAGCATACAACTGTGTGCATCAGTGTGCTTTTTTTTAAAAAGCTCATATTTCTGTAACATCCATCGTTGTTTTGCTCCCTCCTCCAGTTCGAGTCTCGCTGTACAGTCAATGGCTCCACCCTCATCCTGTGTCCCACTCCGGCTGTGGGTCCACAGGCCAGGAGGGCCAGGGTCAAAGTTCACTTCCTGTTGGACAGCCTCCATTTTGACTTCCGCAGCGTGGGGAGCGAGGACTTCAGCTATGAGCCCAACCCACAGCTGTACCTGCTGAACCAGAACGATCCAAGCAAACCGTATCACCACAAACCCGGCAGCATCATCTCCGTCGAGGTAACCACGGCGCAGTGATCATTGTCAGAACTATCAGCACTCAAACCCCCGAGACACTGTAAATACTGTAGACTCACTCATTCTACACCTCACCGCTCCAGGGAGAGAACCTGGATCTGGCGATCTACAAGCAGGAAGTGGAGGCTCGGATAGGGGCGGGGCTGTGCTCCGTCAAGACGCTGACACACAACCACCTGTACTGTGAGCCGCCAGCTCAGCAGCCCTCAGTCACAGCGGGCAAGAGACAGGAAGGGCTGGACAGTCTGCCGGAGTTCACAGTGAGTCAACGTTATTCATCTTCATATTCATGTTCATGGTCAATGCCAGCAGCTACGGGTGGCTTTGACAACATTTTGTTAGATTCAAACATTTTGGATATGAAAATCACATCATATGAAAGTGAAGTGAAACTGATTTGCATTTGATTGATCTATAAGTGTGTTTTCCAGGTGAGAATGGGGAACCTGAACTTCTCTCTGGGCCGAGTGCAGTACGACAGGCAGGCCCAGTCCACGTTCCCTCTGGAGGCCCAGGTGGGGGTCGGGGTGGGGGCTTCCATAGTGGCTCTCATTGTGCTCATGATCGTCCTCATATACAGGTAAACACAGACTGTATTCAAAAAACTACATTAAGAAGATCACATGTGAACACGTCATTTTGGCGTTATTATTTATTTTCATCCAATAATACTTTTTCCTCTTAAGAGCTTGACAATAACGCATTATGCTGCGCGTCAGTCACTATGAAATACTACATGAAAAGTGTCTCGTCAAACTATTTTGGACTTGCAGTTGTGACAGATTTTGAACTTTATGTCTTCTTGACTAGACTAGCGCTGAAATACGAGTCTGTGTGTGTGTGTGGTTGTGTGTGAGAGAGACTTTTTTTCTTTTCCCTTTTCTCTATCCCCTATTTCTTCTTTATCTTCTTATGTTCTTCTTCCTTCCTTCGTTCTTTCTGTTACCTTCTTTCTTCTTCTTCCTTCTCTTTTTATTTGTTTCCTCCTTCTGCCTACTTCTCCTTTTCTCCCTTCCTTCATCTTCCTCTTTGTTTTTCCTCCCCTACCACCTTCTAATATAACCGGCTTGTTAATCTCTTTACTCCACTGTTTGTCTGCATCCTGCTTGTTTGTCAGGAGGAAGAGTAAACAGGCCATGAGGGACTACAAGAAGGTGCAGATCCAGCTGGAGAACCTGGAGACCAGTGTGAGAGATCGCTGTAAGAAGGAGTTCACAGGTACAATCTTCTTCACTTTTAGTAAATAATAAAAAAATACAAAAAATTAATAGCTCACCAATTGTCCGGACCTCAGGAAAGATACACAAACTGAAGCCCTCCTTCTCTCCCCCCTTCAGACTTGATGACAGAGATGATGGACATGTCCAGTGATTTGGTGGGTTCGGGGATCCCCATCCTGGATTACCGGGCGTACGCAGAGCGCATTTTCTTCCCTGGCCACCAGGAGTCGCCCCTGAGACGTGATCTGGACGTCCCAGAGAGCCGCAGGCAGACAGTGGAGCAAGGGCTAGTTCAGCTGTCCAATCTGCTCAACAGCAAACTCTTCCTCACCAAGGTCAGAAGTTTGTTATTGGGACGGGTCTCTAAATCAATATTTCCGTCCTTTTTGTCGGAATCACTACCAAAGCGTTAAATATAGACTTTCTCGAGGGCTCGCTGATACAAGTCAAAATTTATCCCCACATCTTCTTATCCCTGTTGTCTCCAGTTCATCCACACTTTGGAGGTCCAGCGGACGTTCTCCCCGAGGGATCGGGCCTACGTGGCCTCCCTGCTGACCGTGGCCCTGCACGGCAAACTGGAGTACTTCACGGACATCCTGAAGACGCTGCTCAACGATCTCGTGGAACAGTACGTGGCCAAGAACCCCAAGCTGATGCTCAGGAGGTGAGGAGAGGCCGGGTGGTCACATCATCGAGGTCTTCTTCAGAACATTCCTCTATCAATCTTCTGCTTCCTTTTTTCTTTTTCCAGAACGGAATCAGTGGTTGAGAAGCTTTTGACGAACTGGATGTCCATCTGTCTCTTTACCTTTCTGAGGGTACGTCTACTAGTGTTTGTTACTCTGGGACAAAGATCAGTGAATTTATTTTATCCTTGGACCCCTTCTTGAGCACAAACATTAGTGCTGCAAAGTTCTCCACAACAATCCATAATGTTCATACTTCTTCTATACAGAAATGGCACATATTTACAGTTAGAAACTCCTAACACTTATTAAGACACGTGCATCACATACGTGCATGTTTGAGTGGGCTGGTGGCCAATCCGCCCAGAAGCAAAGGACTCGGTTAGGACAGTCACCAAACAAATCCTAATTGAAATTCTGCCGTGGCGGGACAGTGTTGACCTTCCCTCTCTCGCGCTCGGCCAGGAGTCTGCAGGTGAGTCGTTCTACATGCTGTTCAGAGCGATAAAGCACCAGGTGGACAAAGGACCTGTGGACGCTGTGACGGGAAAAGCCAAGTACACGCTGAACGACAACAGGCTGCTGCGAGAGGACGTGGAGTACCGCACACTGGTCAGAACACGCGTTTAAATATATAAATGATATCTGACTACCTTTTCCATTCGAATTGAATCGTTAAATTAAGTTTTACTCAAACAGCTACGAACAACTGCACACAACCTCTGCATGGCAGTATTTCCAAAATTTCCACCACTAACCTGTTGCTCATCCGCTCAGACCCTAAACGTAGCGACGGCCGCCGCGGCCACCAGCGGAGGCACCACCACGCAGACGGTGCCGGCCAAAGTCCTGGACTGTGACACCATCACCCAAGTGAAGGAGAAACTCCTGGAGCAAACCTGGAAGGGAACTTCCTTTTCCCTGAGGCCACACGTCGACTCGTTACACCTCGGTAGGTGCACTTCCTTTCACAACACCACTTCCTTTCTTTTATCCAGCAATATTGAGTAACATATGCGATTAGGATGTAATTTAACAATTCTTTGTTACAAAAAAAAAAGCAGAAGCCCAAATTGAAGTGAATATTCATTTTCCTTCCCGTGCAGAGTGGCGTGCAGGTGTCGCGGGTCACCTGATCTTATCAGACGAGGATCTCACGTCAGTAGTGCAAGGCTCGTGGAAGCGCCTCAATACACTGCAACACTACAAGGTGGGAGCAAGTCACAGCATCGCTAAAACATGCACGCGCACAATGAGCGGGAAGTGTGAACATTGTTGTGTCTCTCTGGGACGCAGGTCCCCGACGGAGCGACGGTGGCCCTCGTCCCGAGGAATACCAAAAACCACCTCCACGACAGCCACGATTACATGCCGGGAGAAAGTGAGTGTCCCCGAAAAACACCTTCAGCTGGAGCAACACGCTCATGTCCAAGTGTGTGTCGTGTGTGCGCGAGCGGCTGTGTCCATGTCACCGCCGCACCGCCAGGAAAGCCAACGCAGTGGTGTGACAGCTGAACGCGGCGTGGACAACCAGGGGAGGGCGCTGTTTGACCACGGGGCTTCTGTTCCATTGGGTAGGATGAGGTGGGACCTAGATTTAGTACAGTTTAAAAACAACTGTCCATGTACACAAATACAATCCAGTGAATCATACATGGACACACTGTGTGTGTGTGTGTGTGTGTGTGTGTGTGTGTGTGTGTCCATCGTATGGGTGACTGAGGGGTGTGAAATGAGGTTAAGTAGTATTCACAGTTTCACATTTCAATCTAAACATAAACAGACAAATACTGAACATCCACACAGATATTCTGTGTACACATCTATACAATGGATATTTAAAGTAGGAAGGAGAGGAGATAACAAATCTTAATTGTGTGTAAGCGTGTGTCTGAGTGCCTGGTGGTTGGGAGGTGGGGGTTGGGGACGAGGGGGGACAGTGTGTCAGCAGGGCAGGCATCAGACCCCCCGAACCTCAGTTCAGAGCTGTAACAAGGCCTCGCTCAGTGCGTCTCAACCCGCCAGCCGTACTGAACCGACCTCTGACCCCTCCCACCAGAGACCCCCATGCTGGACGACGGGGAGGAGGGAGGCGTGAGGCTCTGGCATCTGGTGAAGGCCGGCGAGGAGTCGGAGCTGCCCAATCACCGGAGGGGCAGCGTGAGGGAGCGCGGCGGCGAGAGGGCCAAGGCCATCCCCGAGATCTACCTCACGCGGCTGCTCTCCATGAAGGTAAACCAGGACCCCCGAGCACCAGCCCGTCAAGGCGCGGCCAGATGTGTGTAGATGTTGGCCACAAAAAAGCTAATCTTTGTCTTTGGCAGCAAAGCAAGACGGTCGGGCTCACGACTCCGGTCGCTTCTCTGTAGTTCCACGTAGTCCGAAGTGAGACGTTTCCTGGCCGGCACAGATTAGTACGGGTTACAGATGTGTGATGTGGTCCTCTGCTCCTCCGACTCAGGGCACGCTGCAGAAGTTCGTGGACGATTTGTTCACGGCCATCCTCAGCACCAGTCGCCCCGTGCCTCTGGCGGTCAAATACTTTTTCGACCTGCTGGACGAGCAGGCACTGCAGCACAACATCACAGACCCAGAGACCATCCACATCTGGAAAACCAACAGGTAACCAACACACAAGAGGCGTGGATGTTGATTCCTGCAAATATTGTCACAGCTCATTTTATCAAAGGGTCAAGGGTCAAGATACGATAAACCTTTATTGACCTTGAGCGGAGAAATTCTGTTGCTGCGATTGCCGAAGGCAACCTTTGGTTTTGCCGCGTAAATCCAATATCAAGTGTCCAAAAACGTGATGGACACATTAGGCTCGAAGTCTCTCATGATTTATTGCCTTAGTGAACATTGTAAACAATCTCAACGTACAGTCTCAATCTAAAGTCTTCTTCAATACAACATGATGTTAATTTAGTACATTATGGTCCATTTATAGTCAAATAGACCATGAAGCAGGTGTAGGGCTTTCTGTGATTAACTGCCGCTACCAGAGCTGTGTACACCATTTCTACGTCACTTGGATATATGGTCATTTCAGTTAGCAGACAAACACAACGTACAATACTTGTATACAGACTGTGGTTGCAACACCACACGGGCAGCAATAAAGAGTCGGTAAAGTAAAGGAACCTTTAAGACCATAATGACACGGTGAGCCGTGCTGATAAAGCGACACGGGTGTTCTTAAAGAAAACTCAGTGGGGTGAATGGAGAATTCAAAGAGTCTCTATATATTGAAACAAATGGGGGGGGGCACCAGTAACGACCATAGTTTTTTTACGAACTATAAAAACGTCCGTTTACAAATTCTCCCACAATTCCTAACGAGTGTCCTTTACCTGGTCGCATACGCTACATCATAAACACCTGCATCGTTGTTTAGGTTTGTTTCCGGTTGCATATCAATGCGCTTTCTTAATAAACATCACAACTTTCGTGTCTCGCCGCACAGCTTGCCGCTGCGCTTCTGGATCAACATCCTGAAGAACCCGCAGTTCATCTTCGACGTGCAGACCTCGGACCACGTGGACGCCGTGCTGTCTGTCATCGCCCAGACCTTCATGGACTCCTGCACCATCGCCGACCACAAGCTGGGACGGGTGAGCTCGTCGCTGCCAACTTCTACAAAACGTACACCGTTCAGATCCAGGACGCGTCTGATGCATTGGTCTTCCTCGCACAGGACTCGCCCATCAACAAGTTGCTGTATGCCAGAGACATCCCGCGCTACAAGCAGATGGTGGAGAGGTATGGATATGGCACGCAGTCCCCCCACTGACCCCAGGCACCAAAACCTTCTGGATGAGGGAGGCAGGGAGGGGGGAGGGGGGGCCGAGGACAATCTGTCAGTACCAGACAGAGGGGAGATCAAGCCCGCGAGGCTTCCATGCATGGACGGTCTGAGAGCAGACTGCTCCCCTTTGATTCCACTGGGGACGTATTCAGGCTTTGCATGGCAAGATGTTTATCTGATGAATACGGCTGTTTAGCAGCCTCCCTTGTCTCTAAATATACATTTTAAAAAGGATACAATGTTCTCTTTCTCCTCATACCCCCTCCCCTCGCTCCCGAGTTATTCAGTTTAATTAACCATTTTGATTTCAGAACATGTTGAAATGCTTTAAAGTAAAGATTTTTCTCATATCATCTGTTAAAATATTCTTATTATTCCTTATATTTCTAAATGCTCTGTTTAAGTGCATGTGCTTTTCTTTTCACAGTAAGTGGGTGGGCAAGCACTAACGAATAACCAAATGCATGAGCACAAAAGTCAGTTTTTCATGACGTGTCCCTTTTGAAAAGAAGTCTGTCGTGTCAAGTTTTGCCAGAGCAGCTGTGCATCTCCATGTAAACTATTGACCTCTACACAGCACATGCATTTTAACGAACGGCCCCAACGGCTCATCGGTGCAGACAAACTCCTGTTCATACTCGTATTCAAAGCTGCTCTCATCATTATTGTATAAGAGCAACGGCCGAAACCGGTGTGTAACATGAAAGGGTTGTTTCAAAGAGACACGGAGAATAATCACCCTGAGCAGACTCCAACGTAGCCGATGTTTGTTTGTTTGTGTTCACTGTCGCGGAAAAAGAAAAATGTAACTGCAGGTTTCAGAGGAGATTAAAAACATTGATTTAAATTATGCAGTTGAAATACTACCACGAAGGGACTCGAGACACTCGAAGCTTTGAACTGCCTTCAAAGTGCACGTTTTTTACTGCAAAACAATGAACCAGCAGAAAGAGCTGTTTTGATTTTTATTTCATCAGTTATTCTATTTTGTTCTTTTCTGTACTCGTGTCTTCACTCCTCTCTTGAACCCCCCCACCCGGCAGGTACTACGCAGACATCCGCCAGACCATCTCCGCCAGTGACCAGGAGATGAACTCGGCTCTAGCAGAACTCTCTCGAGTAAGTTACCCGCTCTCTGTTTTCTCCCATTTTGCAAGAATAAAGAGCTAAATGTTGAACACATGAATTGTTTCCATCTGGATGGGCGCCCGACAAGCCGGAAGTGGAGTTAGAAATAAAACATGAATGGCAACGTTTTAACAGCCTGACGTTTCCGCTCCTGTCTGTGTTTCTACTCTCACCAAACAGAACTATGCCGCCGAGGTCAACTCACTCGTGGCTTTACACGAGCTGTACAAGTACATCAACAAATACTATGATCAAGTGAGTATGCTGCAACACACACACATCTCTGTAAGCTCCGAAAATACAGCTCAACAGCAGGTAAATAATAATGTGTATACCATAAGCCCCGCCCACTGTAGCTCTAAGTACACGTTATGGTTTTTAATTACTCTATTGGTTTTTCGATGTTGACTAAAACCTTCTAGAACTGCTGATTGTTTTCAACATTGTGAAATAGCGACGTGCGCATTTGAAGAACGAGCTGCATTGCAAAATGCTACAACTGTTTACTGCTTGATAAGGAAGGAAAACAGTCACCGTGTATTTCCCATTATTTACAGTCAAAGTAGAACCACTAGAGTTTTCTGATGAACCTTTACATATCTACTCTTCTCGTTGTGCAATCGTTTTTTTCAGTCAGCTTCTATGTTCCACTAAAGAAAAAGCCTTTTGAGGCATTTTCACAATATTCCACAAGTATGTAATTCAAGGATCTTAATGGTTTCCATCTCCGGTCAGATCATCACGGCCTTGGAGGAGGACGCCACTGCCCAGAAGATGCAGCTTGGTTACAGGCTCCAACAGATCGCTGCCGCTGTAGAAAATAAGGTCACGGACCTATGACCCAAAAGACGGGATGGAATTCATCTTTTTACCTCAAGGTGATGGACAACGATAGGGACCAAGGTTCTGTCTCCCGGAGGAAAGCCCTCCCTCGTTTCCTTGAGGCGAAGGAGGACAGAGGATGTGTCCAGGAGGTACAGTGAGACCTACTTGAATTTCCACATGTCCCAACAATGGGACTTAAGTGACACAGCTGAGGGCCAGAAGAAAGAAGATCCTGAGAAATCAAGCCAAATTAAAACAAAATGGTTTTGTCCCTCATAAGGAGTCCCCCTGTTGTGTTCACTCTAAACGGAGACACAATATGAGAAGAGACTCTTTTGATTCCTCCTCTCGCTCAACGCGTCTCCCTGGACTTAATGGTTTTTCTGACCAACTACAGGTTTCTACGAATGAGTCCTCTGCTGTCGGCCTGATGAACACGCTGTGGACGAGAAGGAAACGTCAAGACTCAAATGTCTTCCACTATGAGTTGAAGTCTTAGAGAAAGGACCTGAGCAGCCGCTTATCGTATCGGAACGATGTCATCGTTGGGCTTTTATCTTTCTAAAATCATTGTACCTAGTCTTACTCTGTGACCTTTCCTTAGCTGTTGTCCCGTGCGAACACGTTTTTGAGCTTCACATTGCCACTTGTGCTTTTACTCCAATTTTTAAATATTGCCTGTAGTTTGACCTGATCTATTTTTTGAGAGCGTTGATTTGAATTTGCTGAGGATGTGGTACACGAATACTGTCCCGATGAGCCGTTGCTATTGGGATTGTTCCTTTTCTTAGGCACACACAAGTAGTGCGTGCAACCAACGTTTGTCTCTTTATTACCAGACTATCTGGCAGAGGAACTTATGGCGACCTCATTGAACTGATCCGTCCTTGAGATTACAAAGGAAGATGAGCTACATGCAGACAGAACCCATCACAGCAGCACCAAAAGCATCATACTAGTTCAATGAGAACAGATGTTATAACTGACTTTTTGTATAATAAATGCACAAATACATGAATAATGCCCAAGGGAATTAAGGATTTTATAGGTTTTACCACTTCAGTATTGATTTTGCTTCCCCTTTTTCTATTTGTGTAATATATTTTACTTCAACACCATGTTTTTCTTATGTTGACTAAATGTCTTCTTTTTAAAACCTTTTTTAAACAGCGCTATTGATTGAATCTGAGGCGACTGTAAAATGTATGTTGCAGAATAACATTGCTACAAATAGGTGCACAATTTATTTGTATTCTTTTTTTAACTTAAGTCCTATTACAAGCAAGTTTCATTTGGCTGCTGAGATTTAGTCTACTTTTTATATTAGGGGCTTTTTAAAAGCTGGTAAAAATGGGAGAAACAACTGCCTCCATTGGATGGTTGTTATGTGTTTTGCACACAAACATTTCATGCTAATGGAACAACGCCTCCTTGCGCTTTCTGCCGAGTGACGGGATAAAACGCCCCCACCCGCCCCACCCCATATGTCAGACTACCTGTGGTTCAGTCACATTCGAAGAGTGTTTAGCCAAGCCGGACGTCTTCTTCCATCTTGTACAAATCCCTCCCTTAAATCAGACAAAATGTTTGATATACAAAGGTGCCGTTACTCTGTGATGCCGCACGTGAAAATCTTTTACTAGTTTTTCAAATTTAATTTATTTTGTATTTATTATCTGTTACAAATGTTGTTGGTTATTATTTTCATATTTATGAATACTGGTTATGCCCCCTCTGACTCACATTGTCATCTGTACTTTTTTCAACGAGAAAGGAATTCTATTTATTTTTACCTTTTTTAAAAAAAACATTTTTTGTTAGTTGACTCCGAATTCACAGCACCTGTCCAGAAATTGTAAAAATGTCCCTCCCTCCTTTTATATTTTGCATCCATTTTAGAAGCAAGTAAAATAGGCTCTTAACATGTGAGCTATTCTTTCTGTACATTCAAACACCATCCTTTCACGTTAGTGTTGCTTGTGTCTTGTGTATGCAAAGATTTGCACCACTCTCCTGTAGATACATTCTGCTCCTAACTTCTGATCTTCTGAAGAAATCTGAAGATTTTTCTGACTAATTGATAGGATGAACCTAACACCAACTTGATGCGACGCAATAAAGTGCTCCCAATGTTGATGAATGTCTGGAGTCATTGTGTTCTTAATACAGCGGCCTAATACGAGCGTTGATCGCGACCCTTCCAGTTCATCCAGTTAAGACAAAAAGGACACATTCACAGTGTTAAACTCCCTCCTTTCATTAGTTGCACAACATGGCTACAGCAGTAACCCGAGATGATGGCAGCAATAAAGTCCAGGCTTCAAAACGGCCACCCCACAAACCAATGGGTGACGTCGTGAGGACTACGTCCACTTCTTAATACGGTCTTTGAGATTTACGCCTTTTTACTAGTTCATAGTGTTCCTTCACATCCTCATCACAGACATGAGACACAAGCTTTTTATTTCATTTCCGGTGTGTAATGATGAGAAGATTACTTAATGAAGGATTCATTTAGTGTGATGTTCAGAATAAAACGTCTTAAGGCTCCCTGAAAGTAGCAAACAGTAACAGTCTGCTCAGGCCTTTGAGCTTAAAGCTGGACCCGCTTTAGACAGTGACAGCAGAGCCCACGAGGATGGACCACGTAAAAACCAGACATGCCACTCAGGGACCACGGACTGTATTTAAGAAGTGGACAAAGTCATCATAACAGCACCCATCGGTTTGCAGGGGGCCGTTTTGAAGCCTTAAGTTCGTCGACCTCAATGGATCAGATCAGTCGAACCTCTTCCTAAAGATCAAGAGGAGCAATTGTGGTCTGTGCTACTGAACTTTATAGTGACAGGTGTATTTCTAATATTTATTCACATCGGATGCACGTAACACATAAAACGTTACTGAGGTAAACATTTAATTCAGGGATGTTGTATTACATCACACTGCATTAGCTTCATAAAGGTTTCGTAATGTAAAGAGAAGGTTTGACGTAGCAACAATAATGAATCAGTTCAGCTGACAGCTTCTGGGTCCTTGGCGAAGAGGGTTGGAGTAGAAAACATTAACACAGAATAACCCTTGAGTTTGATTTAATAGTCTAATTTGTGAAATCACAGAGAGGTTAAAGATGGCCAACTACTTGATATCTAGATGGACGGTGGGGGGGATCCCCTTCTCAAGCCCGAAGTTCAGCAATGTTTGATCCCCTAGTGCCTAAAAGGTCAAACTCCCCTAAAGGGTGGGGGGGGATTCAGGGCGTGTGTGGGTGAGTGGGGATCACGGTCGTCCTCCAATCAGAGGGTTGTCGGTTCAATCCCAGGCCCCGCTATCCCGCATGTCAATGTGTCCTTGGCCACGACACTTAACCCAACATTGCTCCTGTAGCTGCGACTACAGTGTATGAATGTTAGTTACTGATGGCAGGTGTCACTGTGTATGGTTCTCCTGTCATCAGTGTATGAATGGGTGTGAATGGGTGAATGATGACATGTAGTGTTAAAGCGCTTTGAGTGGTCAGAAGACTAGAAAAGCGCTATACAAGTACAGTCCATTTACCATTACCATTTACCATTCAGCAACTGGCACTCCCTCGCCTTGTGTCACAGTCCTTATCGTTTAGCCCCTCTGATCTCTGTCATGGCTTTCCCACAGCAGCAGATAAATGGAGGCTGAGCGTTAGAGAGAGAGAGGCAAACCAGAGCAGGAGTGACTGGAGGACATCAATGGCACCGTGAAGTAGCTAAAGGCCTGGCAGCCAGTCGGATTAGGAGTCGGCAGGAAAGGACTGCCATGTTTAGACACTGCTGACTGGCTTTACCAGCTCCCACCCCTCCCCCAAATAGCCAGAGAACCATCTCAGCTGCTCAACTGTTTCCCAGGGGTGCAACACTGAAGGTGCTGTAGTTTCACTTGCAAGATTTGACCTCTGCAGATATCCATTGTGATTGCTCCGCATGCTGCCATGCAGAGCCATCGCAGCTCCACACACAATGCTGCCCAGCAGACTCGAGCGTAAGTATGGGACTTTTTTATTAATGGGATACTGTAGAAAACATTTTCTAATTTTACTCGGAACACTGGAAGCCAATGGAGGATTTAACTGTGGGTAGTGTGTGTTGTAAACCTGAAACACACAACATGACAAAATGCATCTTGGCTGGTAAATTAATTTTCTCCCAAAATACCACAGCGCAGTGGAGAAGTTAAGTTTAGCAACGCGCAAATAAAGCATGCCGACATGACTATAGACATTACGGGGAAGACTGTAAGCTGCACTACTAACTTAGTTTAACTTGTCTTATTGACTCACCTCGTCATTTTATTCTGACATAGATAAATGAGACAGACAATTCTGGCTCCTTTGTTCTGATTGGTTGTTCTTCTCTGCGCAAGGGAATTCTGCCATAAGGCATTAAAAAGGAGCTCTGGATGATTCAGAGGATCTTGGTGATCATATAATGTCTGGAGGAAGTGACAGTAGAGCTAGGCCTACTTAATAATTAATTAATTGTAACAAATGTAAGAATAAAGGATTTTGGGCATACCACCCAGCTTGAAGAAATATGATAAGTATGAAATAAGTTATCTACAGTGGCATTGAATGTTGGTTTAGAGTTTTAAACAGGATATAATCACAAAACATCAACAGATGCAGTGAGCAAAATTCTAGGTGTTGTACACCTTAATACAAGGTTGCCATGCACACACACACCACACTCACAATGCATGTCCCTCCAGCCGTACAGAAACCTGACCTGCGCTCTGTATTCTCAGCCATGACGTAACCCCACCCGTTCGCTACAGCAGATACCCAAAGCAGCCGGGATGGAGAGTTATCGCCACCTCCAAAATGACTTACTGCTGAATTAGAAATAGTGCTTTCCACAACTTCCGATGCCGAGTGTCCCCTCTCAGACAGTTTCCATGTCAAGAAGAGTCCATGTGGAAACTCTAAATGTAATCCAACTCTGGAAATGCTACCCCCAGAAACTGAACGATTGAAATTAAAAAGCGTTCTTGGCCGTGAATAACTATTTGATGTCTTTCAGTCAGGGATTTCACAGAACCACACTGAAACTGACTACATTCTCTGTGTTACTGGATCTCAGTGTTTGACACGTTTGACCATGACATACTACTGGACTAAAAGTCTGGGTGCGTCCCTCCGGCATAGCACTAAACTGGTTAGAATCCTGCTTAAAGGACCAAGGATACTTTGTGTCTGTAGCTAATTTATAATTAGAGGGGATTAAAATGACATGTGGTGTTCCCCAAGGTAACATTTTGGGGCTTCTCTTGTTCAACATCTACATGCTTCTAGCTCAGATTACAAAGCATGCTATCATAATTATGCAGACGTCACACAAAACCTTTTGGGAATGAACGGTTGCACACCACAAAATGACTTCAGAGATCTTGTAGTGATTAATTCAGACATCATTTTATTTTAAATTTCCTTTTCCCTGCTTTTTTGATGGTTTTAATGATTTTATGTGAAGCACTTTGAATTTACTGCTTGTTGAAATATACAATATACAATTACATTTGCCTTGCCTTGCACAGGGTGGCCAATAACTTTGAGCCCCTAGGACGCCACAGGCAGCTTGACTCAAAGGACAGCCAAGACTCTGAGGATCCTGGAGAATACTGTTATGGTAAATCAGAGACTCTTAACTCAATCCATCATCTGCTGATGTACTCATGCACCACTGCCAGTGTCCAGCCATCCCGTCAGAGCAGCCCAAATTTGGTTGAACACTATACTGCAAGATGATAAGCCTGTCCAGTTGTGGAAAATAAATACCTTTGAATTGGACTCGCTTGAACTCATTACAGACTATTAATATCAGCAATCAAGGAAAAAGGATGGTGTTTTGATTTTTTTTACCAATGAACAATTTATCTTTTTTTTTCAAATAGGTTTCACATCAGCCTTGTATGGGCTTTGCAGAAAGACTAGTGTTTTAATTAACTAAAAAATGTTTTGTGTTGAAACAATAACTGACAAAACAAGCATCAATAAACGGAAAAAAAGGAAATTCTTGGCCATTAGGCTGTTTCCATTGGTAATTATTGCCAAAGAAATTAACTTCTTTTCCGTAAGAAGTTATTTTCGTTGTGTTTTCCACTTCAGGGCCACCGTATGTAAGGGATCAGGACTGAGACTCAGGCGCAGAGTAAGAAAACAACGAAATACTTCTTTCCAGGTTTGGGATCTTTACTGGCAAAATCAACTTTACAAAACAAACCAAAAAGTAGTACAAGCACATGTGGACTTAAAGACCAAAAACAAACGCTAGGAACATTGGCTTGAGACATACAACTCGGGGTAGGAGAATAGATAACCTGTCATGGATACGTGGGTGATTGTCACTTAAATACAGGTGGGGTGATTGTAAACTGAACTCAGCTGTGGGGGGACAAAGGGCGGGAATCTAAACAAAGTCAAGAAGTTATTCTTTTCAGTCTCTTCAAGTCGTCACACCTCCTCTCTTAGCTTTCTAAAAGCCAGATGAAAACTATACTGTATGATTAAAAAAAAAAATTAGCCATTTGAATAATACAACAGTAAAATATATGCTAACAGGTCCTGTCTTAGATTTCTCTTGTTGTTATATCCTCAGGTGGATACCATCCTGTTCAGATAGGCGACACCTTCAACAAACGATACCAGGTGCTTTCTAAGCTCGGGTGGGGCTATTACTCCACTGTGTGGCTGTGTCTGGACCTCAGGTGGGTTTAGATGGGTAAAGGACGTTACAATAATAAAAAGTACAAAATTAATCTCAGTGGGGGTTCTCACAGGCTGTATAACTGTCATTATTAGTACTTCCTTTGGATCGGCCAACATTTCTAAGATCAAAATGCATGTTTTTATACCACTTGAGCACAGCTTTCATGGATTCGGCAGATAGCAGCATTCTGTCCTCTTTGAGCTGATCCCATGTCTGTGTCTCTAGGCTCGGACGGCGCGTTGCTGTGAAGGTGCTGAAGAGCGGCGACGGCTTCACCCAGGCCGGACAGGACGAACTTGCTCTCCTACGCTGTGTGAGTGACATCTTTGTATTTTGCCTCTCTAGATGGTCCACTACTTCTTACTAATAAAATATGCTATCTGTTCCTGTTGTCTTTATTGTTTGCCTCCATCCTCCTTCTTCTTCTAACCCTCCCCCTCCACCTCTCCTGTTTAATCAGGCTAGCGTTCCTACGAGCAGGCATCCATCCAGTCAAAGAATCGTTCAGCTGCTGGATGAGTTCAAGCTGTCGGGGGTCAACGGGGTTCGTATCCTTTTTTTAGATCCTTCTCATTTCTTGGGCATCCACTCTAAATCCAACAGCAAGGGCTAATGGCTAGAGCTTGTGTCTCTAAAAGAGCCTCTGTAAAATGGTTTGTGTCAATGTCAACCACACAATGACATGCATTTCATCTTTCTTCAGCAGACTGAATCTTTCAAAGATTTAAAATAGACAGTACTAGTCAAACGTTTGGACGCACTTTGTTATTGAATTGAATGAGGACATGTGTCCTACCTTTTGACTGGTACTATAAGAAGTGGACGTAGTCCACGTGGCGTCATTGGTTTGTGGATCGCCGCTTCTAGCGAGTTTGTTTTTGCCGTTTTGCATTACGGCCATCACTATCTTGTTTCTTTTCCAATCAATGAATAGAGTTTACCATAGTTGGAATGCGGAGGAGTGATGTAGTGATGCCGTCGTGGCATGGGCAGTGACATGTAAATCCCAGTCGGCCAACCCTAAACCATCCCCTGCTTCGTCAGTTTGACTCTAAACAGACCATCATTTACTAAATGAACAGCATGCTGTATTGAAGACTTGAAACTAGAGATTGACACCCATGTTTAGTTGCCCCTTGCTGGTCAGTAAAGACAATGCAAATTTGAAAGCACTTTTGTATTGGACTCACTCGACAGCTGCCTGATTGCCTCATACAGTAAATGCTGCTGGCCTCAACACTTGCTGGTCAGACATGTGCCTGGTGCTGGAGCTGCTGGGGTCCGATCTAAGAAGCTGGCAGCTGTGTTTTGGGAGTCCTGGACTGATGCAGCCTTTAGTTAAACAAATACTCACTCAGGTAATTCTTACATCTTGGGTCATTTATCAGAAGATAGGGTAAATATGTATGGAACTGTACGAAAAGGGAAAGCCCTGTTTGTTTTGTGTCACAGGTTCTTCAGGGTGTGGACTACCTCCACACGCAGTGTAAAATTATTCACACAGACGTCAAGCCCGAGAACATTCTGCTGTGTCTGGAGGAACAGTCCTACAAAGTGCCAGCAGGAGACAGCAGTTCCTCTTCTGTAGTGACTAGGAAAGAGGCCAACTCAACAGGCACATATTCTCCTTTCTTTTTTTAAGGGTGCTGGAGATTTTGTAAGAGTCTCAAGGCTGGACTGTTTGTGTGGTGATGCGAGAAACTTGTGTGCCAATGTAATCCTTTTTATGTACTGGTACTCCATGTATGCTCCATATGCAAATTTTGTAAATTGTAGTAGTCAACAAAGAGGTGGTATATGAAATCCTAACGTGTTGTATTGGAAAACACCATTTCTGTTTCTTCCAGAGAAAAGGCATTTGGAGCCATGTAGTGTTAAGGAAATTAGAGTGAAGATTGCTGATCTTGGCAGCTCCTGCTGGGTGGTGAGGAGTTGCACACATTACATTACATGTCATTTAGCGGACGCTTTTATCCAAAGAGACATTTCAACCATAAGGATACCAATGTCTTTTGGTTGGTTTGGTGAAGAACAAAAAACAAGTTAAAAGAGAACCAGAAAAAGTAAAACACACACACATGATGTTATCCAACAGCCTATGCTGGCCTGTTAAAGTTGGGAGAGAAGGCGGAAGTAGTTTAGCCTAAAGCCACGAACAGCGCGTTACAAAATGAACCATGTGTAGCGGTTGTACTCTTGTATTGTGTTTTTAGAATTATCACCAGGACACGTGTCAGCCGTATGGCCACTCTTATATCGGTATCAGGACACAGAGACCACAAGGGAGATATAATATATATATATATATATATATATATATATATATTATTTTTTATAAAAGGTAGGAATAAGTTATATCTTAAAATCGTAGAGACAGTGTCTCTTAAAATCACAATCCTCTAACCAGTCACATATCTATCTGGAACAATCCACTCTCAATCCAAAGTTTCACCTATCCAGATTATCCTCTGTTCCGTCCGTATTCCTCTCTGCGTTCCGTCCGTGCTTCTCCTCGTCCTCCGTGCGCATTTCTCTCTGCGTTCCGTCCGTGCTTCTCCTCGTCCTCCGTGCGCCCCGTAGTGGCAGTCGTTAGCTCTTTTAAACTCCACCAATCAGCCACACTCCGCCTTGCACCTGGTTCGCCAGTTGATTATCAAGTATTTCCAGGTGGAAGCAATTGAGTTATTTTGTCAGCTAAAGGAAGTTTACATAGGGTCCTTACAACTCACACAAAAAGCATGCAGGTAAAATAAGGTACGATAAAATAATACAACACACAACACACACTACAAGTCACTGCTTCAATCGGCCGTTTATTTCGTGACGTTAAGACACCTGCCGAACATACAGGAGGTTAGCGTCTTCATAGACTACCTCGTGGCATGATAACGGTTACACACCCTGCAGCAGACTAACTTTTAAGCTACGAACATGACATACCTGCCGAACATACAGTAGGTTAGCGTCTTCATAGACTACCTCTTGGCATCATAACGGTTACACACCCTGCAGCAGACTAACTTTTAAGCTACGAACATGACATACCTGCCGAACATACAGGAGGTTAGCGTCTTCATAGACTACCTCATGGCATCATAACTGTTAAACAAAAAAGAAAAGATATGAGGTAGTTGATATACCATTGTCAAGGAGACTTTTCGACAGCCAATTTACCGGTTACACACCCTGCAGCAGCAACTTTTGAGCTACAGGGTGTCGCACCCACGTCCACAGGGACACACTAGAGGGCACCCACGTGACACCCTGTCATGACTTTTGTGATGGCAAGTGGAGTCAAACACCCGTTACACATGCGAGAGAACATTCTGCGTCAAGACGCTACAGCTTCTTCATCTTTTCGATGCAGCAAATTATGGACAATGGAGATTACGTTGCAATGATAACGTAATTACTAGTGGTGTAAAGATGCTAATTTTTGCCGTAAAGCAACTAATCTATATCGGTGTTCACAAGTCAGACAAAGCAGATGTCATTGCAGGCTTAACCATCAAAATTTCAAACACATTGTCACGGGAAACTCCTGGTGAGGACTCGGACGCAGAGTTAAGGTTCAGTAGACGTTTCTATTGTCCAACAAAAAATGCAGGGACGACCCTGGAAACATAAAACTTCTCCGAAGAGAGATGAACGGGAAAATGCTCCAGCAGAACTGAGCGAGCTGAATAGGTAACGAAAGAAAAAGCCAAACACTTGCTTACCGAGGAATAAACAATCAATCAATAAAAAGGCTCTAAACTAAAGTGAGGAGCTATGAACGGCACGAGGGCAACTATGGAGACCACAAGGTGGCTCGGCAAGAGCAAAAACTGTGACCTGGGCTTGATTCCTTCTTGTATGGGGCGCCGTTTGTAAAATGTTGCACGTTCTAAAATCCTGTGCAGTTTTGCCACATTTAGCATTATCATATGAACAAAAAAGCACGACAATATTCACATGTCACTTTTTCAAACATTTAGAGAGAAATTCATGTACATTCATGCAATAACTTTTCAAAGGATAATGTTTGGCAGTAACAAAGTTGTTGAATAATATGAATGTTAAATGTAATATCTAAATGTTAAATATAAATGTTAACTGTTATATCTAAATATTAAATCTAAATGTTAACTGTTATATATATAAATGTTAAATCTAAATGTAAATGTTAAATTTAGAGTACATTTAGCTCTAAATTTAACATTTAAGACTTGACGACTGAACATTACAATAGTTACGGTAATTCACGCATAAAACAGGATGGCAAGTCCGGATGAATTAGCTCTTGTTATAGAGCAGGGGTTTTAAACTTATTTTAGGAAGGGTGCCACATATTGTCCATGTTGAAATCATGCGGGGGGGTTCACGGGCGCGTAACGTTGCGCAACCCTCCCCTTGACCGGACCATCGTGAAGGCGGGGGGGGGGTGCGTCGTGAAATCCTCCGAGATTTGACGCACCCCCCCCCCCCCCCGCCTTCACGATGGTCCGGTCAAGGGGGCGTTGCGCGACGTTCCGCGCCCGTAAACCCCCTCTCCACTGCGGTCAGTGCCTCTATTTAAGGTGGTATGGTAAAAGGGTTTACAGCCTTAAAGAAGTTAATCGCCTATTTGTAGTGTCATATCCTAATCTTTGAACTGTTTTTAAACCAGATCCCAAAACGGTAACACTCTGCTTTCATGTTGACCTCCTCTATGCTCATGTACATTTCCATTAAATATTAATGTATAGATTTTGAGAAAAGTAAAAATGTAATCAGTTACCATACCATAACACCTTAAATTAACACCCCTGCTCTGTAACAAGAGCTAATTCATCCGGAGTTGCCAGCTTGTTTTGCCGCGGCGTGAATTACCGTAATTATTGTAATGTTCAGTCGTCAAGTCTCAAATGTTAGAGCTAAATGTAGACTCTACATTTAACATTTACATTTAGATTTAACATTTACATTTAACATTCAGATTATTCAACAACTTTGTTACTGCCAAACATTTTCCCTGGAAAAGTTATTGCATGAATGTACATGAATTTCTCTCTAAATGTTTGAAAAAGTGACATGTGAATATTGTCGTGCTTTTTTGTTCATATGATAATGCTAAATGTGACAAAACTGCACAGGATTTTAGAACGTGCAACATTTTACAAACGGCGCCCCATATTCCTGGGGCGGGTGTGCAAGGCGAAAGGACATGACACACTAGCACAGGACAAGGGGAGACGCAGACTATAAGTACACATGTGGGAACAGGTGGACATGATCAGGAATCAGGGAAGACAATCAGACTGGTGACACATGAGGCAAGGAACCTGAAACGAGAGGAGAGTTAATTTCCAAAGTAAAACAGGAAGTCACCAAACAACCATGGCGACAGGATAGAGACCCAACTTGACATACAGGTGTGACACACATACCAGCTTGTGGAAACAGACATTTTAGATTTAAGATTTTCTGTCTGCTGTATCCTTCTGTCTTTGTTGGAGCAGTACAAACATTTCTGTGAGGAGATTCAGACCCGTCAGTATCGCTCACTCGAGGTTTTACTGGGATCTGAGTACGGCCCTCCTGCTGACATCTGGAGTGTTGCTTGCATGGTGAGTGAAAATAATACAATTGTACGATCTCACTGTGTAAACGATTAAAACCCACAATTCCTTAGAAGTATTCATTTAGTGAAGAATTTTGTTCACATTTTTCTCAGGTTTTGAACTTTATTTTGGGGATTTCCACTATAAATTGCATTCAAGTTCTGTGAATTCCATCAAAGTTTGTCTCCATACAAGAGCTTTTAGGGACTGTCAAACTAGTGGATCTAGTGGCAATCTCTGTAATCAGCATGTGCATTAATGAAACAGGACAAGATGTGTAATGTGCATTCAGATTCATCATTTGGGAATCATTAAGTTCTGTGTGGGCCAATCCATGTAGTGTGTGATGTTTCACAACTTTAGAGTAAGTGGATACAAAAAGCCATTGTTCCAACGAAAGTCTCTATAGTACTGAAAATTGTCAATTTGGAATGCAAGCCCTGCCAGTTGTCCCGAAATAAAAGCCCATGGCACAGAAAACCCCCACAAATGGCAATGTCATTAAGTGATGGGCCTTCATAATAGTTTGCCAATTGGAGTGGTTGGGATGCAAGATGCTCAATGGCCACACATCTCACCCTTTTAATTGTCTCTTGCATTCTCTCAGGCCTTTGAATTGGTCACTGGAGACCCCTTGTTTGAACCCAAAGCCAGCAAGTCCATTTCCATGGGGGAAGGTACGTCTAGTTCTGTAGGTTGACGCTGTGGCAACTTTGTAAATGTTAATCCAGTGCATGCGGACTTGTAACGTGTGTTTGTTTTCTCTGTCCGCCTCAGACCATATAGCTCAGATCATAGAGCTGCTTGGTAAAATCCCACCAGCTATTTTATTGTCTGGTAAATACTCTACAGAGTACTTCAACCGCAGAGGTGAGTCCGAAAGATATTTTTGTGTGTTATTGCAATCACACGTTTTATTGATATCATTCCAGTAAATCATTTTTACATTTCAATGTTGAGCATCTACTGTAACACTGCTTGTGTGTCACACAGGGGACCTGCATCGCTTTGGCCCGCTGAGGCTCTGGAGCCTTTTCGACGTTCTACTGGAGAAATACCACTTCCTGTTGGAGGAGGCAACCGGATTCTCAGACTTCCTTCTTCGCATGTTGGAGTACAATCCGGAGAGAAGGGCCACCGCGGCACAGTGCCTCCTCCACCCTTGGCTGACCTGCTGATAGCCTCGCAGCGGACGCCACATGCCATCTGACGTCCTGGCGGACCAGACGCTGTTTTAGGTCTGCATAGGCTTACTAGAGGAATCCAAAGAGCTAATGCCTTTCATTTGTGGATTCCTTTAGAATGTGGAGTAGGATGCTCTTCCCCATAGGAGCCCCATTATGCACTTTAAGCGGCTAATGTGTTATATATATATATATACATATATTTTTATTTCTCTGGTGACTATAAGTCTGAGTGACAGATAATTGAGTCCCATAAGTATCCCCAGAGTGATTCTCCATCGTTTCCCACTAGACTGACAGGCCTGACCATGCTTGACACTGAGAACTTGTCATTTTGAAGAACTATTATTCAGTGCAAGTAAATGTGAGAAATTAAAATAATTATTTCTAAAAAGTAAGCATTTCATAATCATTCGTATTGTATGTGGTTCAGAAATAAGTATGGTAATCTTTAGAAACCAGCAAGAGTACAATAGGTAGAAAGACAAAGAATTTAAAAAAAGGAAGATTATCCTAAAATTGTCTTTCTTTCAGTTCACAGTGTAACAGGAAATGGTTCAAATGTAAAGCAACTTTATCTACAGTGTCTACAGCTAGAGAATTGGACACATTTCAAACATGGTTCAAATCTCTAAACAGTATACCCCTCATACAACACTTGGGATTGATATAAGGAAAAAATCATTTAAAAAACTCTTGAATCATGACCATATACGGATTAGAAAACATTTTTCTGAAACTGCTTTTATCGAAAATATATTGTCACTTTGTATTTCATACAGTACACATCCCAACTGTTCCTCTGAAAAAGATATTACCTAATCAGACAGACAGCTTCTACAGGGGGACATTCTTATTCTGATTATTCTATTTAAAGGTGAAAGAAAATCAATATTCTACGAAAGCAACGAATCAAATGACTATGTGAAATTTGATAGTGTAGAACCTTTTTGACTCATCATTTCTTTTCCACCCATTCAAACCACACACAACCTAATGGTGCGACACGTGTAGTTTGGAATTGGACAAATAACCACACATGATTAGCATTTATTTTGAGTGCTGTGTCTAATCGGGCAACAGTTAGCAAACAGGTTTGCCCCATAATCTTAATAAAGGGCATTTTATTCACTGTTTTCAACCAGCTGTTCTGTCCCCAGAGTGACAATAAAATGAAACGATGAAGGAAAATGCCTTGGCCTTGTGGACTTGGACTGAAAAAACTAAACAAAGAATAAGAGTAAATATACTTGACTTGATGCATATGCTTACTATAAGCATATAATATACTTGATGAAGTATACATTGACTATTTTGCTACTTTTTGTTTTGTCTTTTTTAGTCCCATGATAAAATGCATCATCACAAGCTTCCTCAGTTGTGATTCATTTTTTTTTTACTAATGCTGATTATAACAGGCATTCATACATATTAGTTCAAATTAAGAAACAATAGACATTTTAATACAATAACAGTTCTTCTCCTTCCACTGCCAAAAATGTGGTCCACTGTTTTCTTATGTTATGCAGTATTATATTGTATTGTTGTGGTTGAATTACTACCAAAGACACCATTGTGAGGACACAACTGGAAATAACGTTACAATTCCACACCAGTTTATTTTACCCTCCCCTTCCATTCCCTTTGGTTCCACTAGAAACTTGAGCATCAAAGTTCGATTTGACTTGTCCTCATTAAAACATAATACAAACAAATGTCCTCATGGTAATTCTGTCCAAAACCAACACTATGTGCATGTCAACCTATCCAGCTGTAGGCTCGACACTCAGCCAGTGGGTCCTCTTTATACACCACAGTGTAACCGCACTCGGTCCGGATCCGATGACACTTCCTGGGCCAGGAGGTGGGCTTCATCGGCCTGGAGGGACAGAGAAGACGCCGCGTCACCGGGACAGAACTCCCATGGGCAAAGCTTTATTGAATGAAAATGAATCAATACGACCAGAAATGAGTTATCTACTCACGTGAGGCAGTAAGATCCAAAGTTGTGACAGAAACACTTATCACAGCCTCTTCTGAAAGACTCTCCTGCTTTGTAGTGCCTTCCTTTATTAGAACAGAGGCCTGTATGAGGGAATGAGCATCACAATAACAGGTCAATGTCCAGTCTGGATGCATTTTTATTTTCCTATTTCTAATAACACGCCAAAAGAGTACACTGAATTACATAGAACAGAGAACAAGAGGTGAGGCATATTCAAATCTAGCCACCTATCATCCCTGCTGGCTGTTTGAGCTACTCATGTGGGGTTTGTCGGTCACATTAGGAGGGCGCTCAAAAGGAACATACTGCTGTGAGGAGCCCTCAAGGGTTGAATGCAAGGTCAGGGCACAGAGGACATTGTGTTTTCAAGTCACTGCAACAGTTGATTCATGCTCCGAGGGCGGACAAGCAGTAACGCCTGCACAACTATAGGATAATCAAATAGAGAAGAAAAAGTCCTCACCTTTTATGTGGTACACGGAGGCTTCTGAGTATCCATCGTTCAACAGAAGAATGAGGGGCAAGCCAAATGCTAACATAAGCAGCGGAGAGCATCTGCAAATATTACTGATTAAAAGTAACATTGTTCATGGACGTATATTCTTTCTTAAATCTTGCAATTGTTTTTTGTCATCTGTTAAAAACGTGTTCCGACGGTCCAGTAAAAGTCCAATTGATTCTCAGTAGACAGAGGCTGATATTTATAGTCTCACATCACAAGAGAAAGTGGGAATGAGAGAGAGAGAGAGAGGGAGGAAGAAAGATCATCTCCACATGTTTAGTTTGCTGGTTTCCAAAGTATTTGGAGATGTACCCAAGCGTCCATAAATATTACCTTTGGCCATACGTAAAGGCTGCGTGGGTGAAGGCATGGCTTGTTCGGTCCATTAGTGGCCTCAGTAACCAGTTAGACTTTTCTGTAAATCTGTTGTCACATTACCCTCATTTCATCGGCTACCTGAACTTTTCTTTTCTTATCTGTTTTCTATAATTTCCCTCCCTCTTCACCGTCCATTACACACAGATGCCGACTTTTAAAGCCAATCCAATATGTTGTAAATGCTAGCGTTGTAGAAAACAGCTACTCTTCCTGCTGACGTTGTCCCCTTTCACAAAAAGGAATTGGTTCAAGCCAAGTTATTCCAAGACTGAATTCCAAAACATGAAAAATACATGAAAAAACATTGCAGACTTTGAAATCCATATTCCTCTTACTCTGAGCAACTTAGCCTTTGGAGACTTGGGTGTTGTGTAAGCAGAGCCTATATTACTGCTTGTGCGACTGACCACAGGGCAGTTTGTGGTCAGTCTCTTCCTTCCTGACAGCCCGCCGGGTACCAGGCGACGCATTGTGCTCTGAATAAAGAGAAAGCAAATAGTACTTGAGGGCGTCAGGCCACTCACGCGGCAAGAAAGTCCTTTTTATTTAATACTTTACGAACCAGTAAGGGTTTGACACTCTGCACTTTCTTCCTGCGTCTATATCATTTCAGGGTGGTCTGTTTTGTTTATTTATGGGATTCTAAAACTTGCCTGTAGGTGTGACCACTAAGCTCAGTATTGGCAGACAATGGACTTGACACGATTTATATTGGAAGCAAATATTTGGTACTGCTCTGTGTTGGAGGATGCAACAGTCATCTTGGTTGACTTTCATGCAGGAGACTGGAGTTCCTGGCAAGACTGACTTCAAAGCAAAAAGAAACCCTAACCCTATTTGAAGCATAAACTCTGCCCAGAGTGAATTAAGATCCAGACCTCTCAGTCCCCGCATAAGAATGGAGATAGAAAATAGATGGCTGCAGCACTTTAAAAAAAGCACCAATACAATGTATTTTAATGCAAAGAAATATCTTAATAAAAGCAGTGTTTTAATTAGTAAATCGGCCCTTTGGAAACTATCTATGTGGAACTGAGTAAGATCATTATTTGAGTGGAATTAATAACTTTTTCAAGGGAACATTTCTTGTCATTGTTACATTAATAACCACAGAGCTACACTGTAAAAAAAGATCCTAATTATACGGAACATTTTTACAGTAGTTTTTCAAATTTTTATATCATATACAAAACTCTCTAAAATATGGTCCAACTGTAAATTTAGGTATTATGCTAATAATAACAAATTAGATTTTCTTAGATTTTTTTTACGGAAGAAATACTGTAGTAAATATTTTACTGTTTTCTTAACTTACATTCAAATCATGTATAATAATGAAAATGACCTCCTTATATAAAAGGTTTATGACCATACTAACCATTTTCTGAAAAAATCTTGTAATTTTAAGGTAAATCATGTTTCATACTAATGTGTATTTTGACATTGATTCTGGATCTCAATTTAGCTAACTTTTTTCATTACATCAAACATAATGCAGTCTTATATGAAAGTAGAATCAAGAATGATAAATCTTTTAGAGGAGCAACATGAGACAACTGCGGGTCATGGATCTGTGTAGTGTCCCCGAGCCAGACACCTACACTGTAAAAGAAAAAAAACAAAAAACGTAAAATGAAGGTAAAATAACTTAATTCAAACACCTTTCATGAAGGGAATTATGTATGTATGTATGTATATGTATATGTAGGAAATAGCTGATCACTGGCAAATTGGAAGGTTGTTCTTCATCTGCACACCGTCACTTCTGGTAAAGATTCATTGACCTTTTGCGATATTACATTACATTACATGTCATTTAGCTGACGCTTTTATCCAAAGCGACTTACATTACATTTTTAACCCATGGCACTTTTACATTTTTGCCTGGGGAGCAATTAGGAGTTAGGTGTCTTGCTCAGGGACACTTCAACATATTCATCATATGACTCTGATTTGATTTATTAATACACTGCATAGTTGGGATTCTGAATTAAACGACAGTGTAATGTTTGCTGTTATATAATCAGAATTAAATGGAGCCCCTTGTCAAGATAGACACATGGAGAAATGCCATTTTTAGTTGGTCCATTCCTCCTGGGGTCCCTGAAGAACTGTTTGTGAATATTTGGTTGATATTTTGAATGTACACTTGAATACATTAAATTACATTTGAAACATTGAAAATCTTGTAGATTTATGAAAAGCTTATACTTCATGAGAATTGACAACGTGTTAAAGGACAAATTTGTCAGGCTACAATGGCGGACCCAAATGCACAACTCAGGAAACAGGGATAAGGGTAATCGGTTTATTGCTCCCAGAGTAACTCAGGCAACAGTCCAGGTACAACAGGCAGGTAAACGTGGTCGTAGGTGCAGGCAATAGGTCAAGGTACACAAGAAGACAAACCAAGGGAACGCTGGAAAGTGAGTCAACATGGAGCTACAACAATCTGGGAGGGGACCAGTGAACAAGGCTGAGCTTACATACACGGGGGAGAGGAAGACAACTAGACACAGGTGAGTAACATCAGAGTGGAGACCTGCAAACAACAGGCAGGAAGACAAGTGGCGTGAATAGAGATGAACAGTAGATGCAAAATAAAACAGGAAGTTCATGAAAACAGACGGAAAAACACAATAAGAGCGGAGGCAGATGTTACAGTACCCCTTCCTCTAGGGCCGAACCCCGGACGGCCCAGCACGTCAGGATGCATCTTATAAAAGTCCCGAATGAGACTCGGGTCCAAAGTATTGCTGGCCGACACCCATGCCCTCTCTTCTGGGCCATACCCCTCCCAGTCCACCAGGAATTGACGGCCCCAGCCTCTCTTCCTCCGCCAATAAGACGAGGGGGAGGGGGGGGAGGTGTGACCGGAACCAGTGCGCTCTCCTGGACTGGCTTGACTCTACTCACATAAAACGTGGGGTGTACTCTCATGGCCCTGGGCAGCTTCAACCGAACAGTCACAGGATTGATCACCTTGGAAACGGTCCCACGAACCGAGAGGCCAACTTCCGGCTCTCGGTGCGCAGAGGGAGATCCTTCGTGGCCAGGTACACCTTCTGGCCCACCTGGTAGTGAGGGGCTGCAGACCTCCGCCGATCAGCCTGTCTCTTGTAGCGTCCCTGTTGCTCAGAATGACCTGTCGAGCCCTCGCCCAAGTCCGTCGACAGCGTCTGACCAAGGCCATGGCCGAGGGCACCCCTACCTCTCTCTCGAGGGCAGAGAATAGCGGCGGTTGGTAGCCGTAGGTGCACTGAAAGGGCGACAAGCCAGTGGACGAGCAGGGCAGGGTGTTGTGGGCATATTCCACCCACAGAAGCATCTTGGACCAGGATGCCGGACTCTGAGAAACCAGGCAGCGAAGACCCTTCTCCATCTCTTGGTTAAGACGCTCCGTCTGTCCATTGGATTCTGGGTGGTAGCCCGAAGATAAACTGACCGTGGCCCAAATCAATGTGCAGAAGGCTCTCCAGAACC